CACGCTAAGTCACAGACTTAGTGAGGCATATAATACAATAATACATTTCCTAAAGTATGGACATGTAATCCAATCATTTCATATACAATCACAATTATCATATCACTATTTAATCATGTCACATATGATTCATCATTAACAATAATAACATGATATCTTATAAGAAAGTAAACTTTTTTATATCTTTTATGTGCCCATGTACATTACTGAGAACTTAAGGTATGCGAGTACAGTGAGGTTGTGCACATATGCTGTCACCACAGCTCGTACAATTGTCAACTAAGTGGCATATAAAATTTGTACCATAGGACGTCATATATGTCTCAAAGGACCTCATATATGTCCCAAAGGACCTCATATAACCTTCGACTCTTGGCATGCCAACTATACATATAGTTCTCACATCACTTAACATGGGCGCGAATATTTATATGTTCCATATAATCACTAATTCATCAAATATTCATGTACTCATATCATTTCTCTTATAATCACATATGTCTTATCTCATACTACATATCACATGTACATATAATCATCTATCTCATGTCATATAGCTTATGTTATTTGATTATGTTCACATGGATCATATAGCATGTATCAAAACATATAAACATATAACACTTATGCATGTGCTTATGATTATTATTATATATGCATGTTCATACCTATTGGACCATGAAATTTAAACATAGAAAATAGACTTATCACAAGTCATATTTCCATAAAATTACATCTATACTATAGCATGCACTCACCTTAGCCTCACTTGATCCAAATAACTTCTATGACTTAATCTCTCTCTTGATCGTTTCTAACTCTTCGATCATTCTGAAACTTACTTATACTCGATATCTACACAATCATACATTTGATATGCATATCAAAATTCTAAGTATTATAATTCGATCCTTAATAACTCAAGCTAAAAGAAATGTTTAATACAATTTTCTACTTTGAGTAGTATCGGTACCCCATGTATGGTATCGATACTTCCCTAGTTGTGGTATCGATACTGAGCCTGGGTATCGATACCGTTTTTTGATTCTGTGATCCTTATTTCAAAATGGTATCTATACTTGCCTTATGGTATCGATACCCTTGGTTTTAATACTACCCTTTTGGTATCGATACCCCTTGAATAATTTGTCAAATTTTGGCTTATGGTATCGATATTATTCAACCATTATCGATAACCCTACTCTAAATTTCACTTATTTACCTTTGAAGTATTGGTACTGAATGAATCAGTATCGATACTCATAGCCTAGAAATCACTTTTTAAACCCGAAATTTACCAATATCAGCTTAAACCCTTCATTTCTTACTCCCTTTCATACCTTTAAACTCAAATACACATACTCAAATCAATTTATATTCATATAATACATCCTTATCATCAAAATCTCTTATTATATCTTGAAACCAAGAATCCTCCCAATTTTCTAACATGCTCTAATTTCAATTCTAACACTTCATACTTCTTCATTTAACAGTGGACAAGTAAATTTTAGTCTCAAATTCTACTTACTAACTTTCTTCCAATATTTCACTTATAAACCTCTCATCTTTAATCCTTCCCAACTCCTTCATCTTTTGATTTTAAGATAACTTAAGATTTCCTTAAGCTTAAGTATCATCTAAGGAACATAAACCAAACTTAAATTCGATTCAAAATCAGCTAACAAGAAACTCACCTTTGCTTATGGTAGCTCATGGTTGAAAGAGGAAGAAGAGTGAAAATAATTCTGGAAAATATTTCTTTTTCCCTTCTACATATCTCTATGTGTAGATATCCTCTACATATCACATTTGTTTAATTCATTTATTGATCAAATAACCATTTTTCCCTTCCATTCATCCTTCTTTTCTATTTAGTCCTACATAAAAAAATTTCATATAAGTCTTTGAACTTTTCAATTTATCTACTTTATTCACTAAATCCTGAGATTTTACAATTTGGTCACTAACCCGATATTTGGGATGTTACAGTTGACGTCGTCGAATATATATATATATATATATATATATATATATATATATATATATATATATATATATATATATATATATTATAGTATTGTCAGTAGTTATTAATATTGTTGTTTGTTTATTGCATATATTATGCCTAGGAGAAAATTAAGTGATATGTGAATTGTTCGAGCTCCTCAAAAAGAGGAAGAAACAAATAATGAAGAATCAATTAGTGTTGGATCTACAGAAATTTCGAATATAGTTGAAGAAATTGTAGAAAATGAAGGTAATGTTCGACTCTTTATTTAAATGGTGATTGATTTTCTTATAGACTTAATTGTGAAAACCTACACTAAATTATTTCTTATGTAGCTGATAATGGTCAAAGGCGCAAGAGTAGAGGTCGTACGATAATGAAGGAATTGTACCAACTTCCTCTTGGGGACCACGTGAGAGTATCAAGTAACGATGTCGGTCAATCTATTGGGACAAAATCACGTGTTCTATCAGGTTACCTAGGCATTATTGCATGCAACGCAAGTCTCCTACTGATAAATTATGAGTCATGGCGTGAGATGTCGAATAGTAGCAAAAACCAGGTTGTGGATTGCATTAAGGTAATAATTTCATTGTAGTTCAATAGTAATATATATTTACTTTCAGCACTTGTGTAATTTATAGGAGAAATTTTCTTTAGAGGTCTTTGTTGATTATTTGAAGCAAGCGTTAGGAAAAAATGGAGAGATCACAATAGTTTCTTAGAAAAGAACTATTTTAAGAACAATCTCAGCCTTGAAGGAAAGCTGTAAAATGTCCCACCTAGAATGCTCAAATATCAATGGGAATATATAGTCAGGTTTTGGAGTTCAAAGAAATGAGAGGTATGACGCACTTTAAAAATAATATTATGTCACTATATTATTGACTTTATAAGTAATGTGGAGGTCAAATTGTAGGACCAAGAGCTCGTTGGTATTGCTAGTAGACAACAACAAAAGTTTACTCACACTGATGGATCGAAGAGCTTTGCTCGTGTAGCTCATGAACATGTATTCTTTTTTTTTTAATTATGATTATTCATATAGTCATTTTAAGTTGGTATCATATAGTAATTAATTTTTTTCTATTATTTATTACGCTTTTTTTGTAAGTTTTAATTTATATTCTATATTGTAGGAAATTACGTCCGACAATAGAGTCTGACGAATAAAGCTCTTCAAAATGACACATACAAAAAAAGATGGCTCTCATATGGCTCCTGAAGCTGCAAAAATTATGGTATATTTACTAGACATAAAATTTGCATTATGTTATATTTATAGTATAACATTTTTATTTTAAATAATGTTTGAATGTGTTCTAAATTCTTAATTGATTATCAGAAAAATTGAGTGATAAAAGGGTAGAGTATGAAGCTACGACTTCATCCCATGCTTCTATTAATGCAAACGATATTGAAAATCAAGTTATTGCTGAAGTTTTCAGTCCTGAAAGATATGGTCGAGTTCGTTGTCAGGGATCATTCGTTACTTCTACCAAATATTTTGGATCCAGCTCATCTCAGTACATGCCATTACATAGCCAATCTTCTTAACAAGAAGTTAATCTATTAAAACAACAGCTGAGTCAAGTTGATGAAAAAATTGATAAAATGAAAGTCAAAGCTAAAGCGAGAGAAACAGAGAGAACAGCGAGAGAAGCAGCATTTCAGGAAAAAAAATAAAGAACTTCAAAATCAAATTGAAGCTATAAAGAAGATGATGTAACAAAATCAAACGAAGAATTCATCATCCTAGGTGTTTTCTTAGCTTAAAGCTTTGTTTATGTTATTGAAAAATGTTGAAGATGTTTGTGAACTTTAATTTATTTATGTTTTTATGTATTATTACTTAATTCGAATCGTAATTATATTTAAGATGGTTATTGGATATTGTTACAGGTTAAATTTTGGTAATACAAAATATAGAGAAGATATGTTGAAAATCAGTTTCGATTAGTGGCGTTTTTGGGGTAAAACACCACTAACGGAGTGTATACTTGGCGACATTTTTTTTCCTAAAACGCCACTAAATGACCAACTTATTGCAACGTTTGTGACAAAAACGTCGCTAAATAGAAAATAAGTTGCGGGAAAACGCCTATAAATATAAAACATATTGTGGTGTTTGTGCCAAAAAACGTTGCTATACTAGAACCTGTTGCGGGGTTTGTATACTAAAATGTCGCTATATAACATGACCTTTAGTGCGCTTTAATATACAAACACCGCTACATAACCTAACTTTTATCGGCTTTTGTTCGTAGAAAATGCCACTAACTTGCGACGTTTGTATTAGAGGCGTTTCCCCCCTTTTTTTTTTTGCGTCGATAGCTTTTTTAGCGACGCTTTTAAACGCCTCTATAGAATAAAAAAACGTCGTTATAGACCAGTTCTGCTGTAGTGACTGTAATCGTTGATCGATATTTTTAACGGTTCGATTAATTAACCTATAAAATGTAGTGGTTATATCGGCTAATGGTTATGGTTAACGGTAACGGATTAATTTGAACATCTCTAAACGTAACTACTCGAATCTAAGACCTTTAAAAATAACATTTATTTTTATCAAAAAAACGACATGATGAATTCAAATATTTTTTTGATTAATTTAAAATAAAAACAAAATAATAACAGTTGAAAATATTTTTAACCACTCAACCATGAATATTCAAACATCCTACTTAAATTTCAAATTTGAGCACTTCTTAAGTCGACACTTTTTTCTTTACATCATTTTCTTCGGTTACGTTTCTTTAGTCTTTCACTCATCATATTTTATATTTGTTGATAATGACACAGCTGTCGTTTCCCTTTGTGTTTCTTCTTCCATGTGATCTCCGCTCGTTTTCTAAAAGCAATAATTTTGGTCGGTTGATCAGTATGCTTGCGTGTCGCCTCGTAAGTAGGTTTCCTTTTAAAAAATCTATTCTGAGAGCAAAGTATGATTTTTTTTAGAAGTCAAGGGACTAGCCTTATAAATCTTCTCTTCTTTTTTTCCGTTTTTCTACCTGTTGCTGATCTACGCTCTTTGCATGATCACTTCAGACTTTAGCTCACTGAAGCCGACACCTCATTTACCCGTTTCACTTCGGGTCTGTCTTCTTCCTGTTTGAAACTCTATATGATGTTAAAGTTCTTGAATTTTGTTTTCGTTTCAAAATTGATTGATTCTTTGTTCTTTGGGTTTGTTTCAGGTGAATTTTGGAGCATAATTTGGCGATTAATGGAGGTTGGTTTTCAGCCCAAGGTGTCAAACAATTCATCTTTAATGGAGAAGGGAACTGGGGAATTTGGGTACTTTTTATTCTCTCTCAAGCTCATTTACATACATACATATATAGAGGATTCATCTTTTTGCTGTGATTTTGTAGGTGTTCTCACTACAGAAGAAGATGCAAGATCAGAGCTCCTTGTTGCGATGAGATATTCAACTGCAGACATTGTCATAATGAATCCAAGGTCCTTACTTTGCTTCTCAATTCTCTTCAAGTTCTTTTTAATCGTTTCTATTAATTTCGGGAAAAAAATATGGTTTTTCTTTTTACAGAACTCAATGGAAGTTGGTCCTTTTGATCGTCACGAGATTCCTCGCCATGACATAAAAAGGGTCAGATCTTGTTGTACTCCCTTTTTTGTTCATGTTTTTGTTGTAGTAATTTTGGACAGTTTTCTCTCATTTTTAGCTATATTGTTATATTCAATAACTTTTTTTCCAGGTTATTTGTTCCTTGTGTGACATAGAACAAGATGTAAGTTTCTGAAAGTATTTTAATGGTGATATGAAGATTGAGTAGAATGAGAACAGCAGTGAATTTACTAACTTGGTATGTCCTTTCTTGATTTAAAATTAGGTTCAACAACATTGCATAAACTGTGGGGTTTGCATGGGAAAGTACTTTTGTTCGAAATGCAACTTTTTCGATGATGATGTTAGTGGTTTGCTTCATTTTTATCATTCAATATAATGCAATTCAATGAATAAGCTTTCTTATAATGCACAACATTTTCTTTTCTTGAATTGCAAGGTCTCAAAAAATCAGTACCATTGCAATGAATGTGGTATCTGCAGGTTCGATTTTTGATAAATCTACTCTTTTTTTTGTGTCTACATGCATATGATATCCATGTATTAACTTCGTTCGATTTTGTAGAACTGGAGGTGCGGAGAACTTTTTCCATTGTGATAAATGCGGTAAGATTACCGACTTATCCTGCGTTTTTTTCACATGAAACATCATTTTTGTTTTCTCCATCTTCAATCGTTAATGTTTGGATTAAATCTGTTGAAGGATGTTGCTACTCTATGATGTTGAAGAACTCCCACAATTGTGTTGATAAAGCTATGCATCATAATTGTGCCGTTTGCTTCGAGGTAAGTTTCAAACGCCCAAGGTTTATCTAGAACTTTGCAAGTGTCGTATGCCTTGTTGAGCTGCTAATTTGTCGTTTTTCGTCTTGTTGTTTTAGTTTCTCTTTGATACGACAAAAGACATAACTGTCTTACCATGTGGCCACACGATACATTTGGAATGTGTAAAAGAGATGCAACGGCATTTACTGTAAGTCCTTTTGAGCTCACGTGCAACCCCATGGTGATGCTGATTATGTTCGCCAAAAGCATTTCCTTATTCATTCCGTATGTCGTTATTTGTTGTTTTTTATGGTGTTTTTGCAGGTATTCATGTCCTGTTTGCTCAAAATCGTTTTGTGATATGTCCCGGACGTGGGAGAGGCTTGACCGAGAGGTATGCATGGAATAGATCACCATATATTTGTATTGAACCACAATGTAATGTTTCTCATTTAATTCATTTGCCAAAATGTTCTCGAAAACAAATTTCAGATTGCTTCAACAACGATGCCTCAGATTTATCTGAATAAGATGGTCAGTAAAATACTTAATTTGCAGATTTTAGCAGCTATCCCTGTTTAGTTTCTATGAGCTATTTTTCGATTAAACACTTATTTAATCGACCAGGTTTGGATTCTCTGTAACGACTGTGGGGAACATTCTGAGGTTAATTTCCATATCTTGGCACACAAGTGCCCGAAATGCAGATCATACAACACCAGGCTGACGCGTGGAAGTCCTGCTCCGGGCTCATCGGAGATTACGAAAATAGTTAGATGATGGGTTCGTCAATGTTTATTTTGTGCTTTTCCGTTTCCTCTTTTAGTTCCTTAACTGTTATGGAATGGGGAAATTTCACTAGGGCACTACAGGGTAGCTGGAATAATAAGTTTCTTTCTCTTTGTTTACTCCTGTCTCTGTATGCTAATCCGCCGTGACATGTCTGCTCGATCTGGAGGCTGCAGATTGTATTAGTAGAACAAGTATGAACGCAGATGTTATGTAATCGTATCGCTGCTAGCTTTAATAAATTCCAAATTTTCTAAGATATCAGTTTTGAATGTCGTATTTAAGTTTTCGGTTTACAACAGGTAATGGAATTCTTAGTAGATCCAACTGAATATGCAACAATGTATAGCAACCTTGTAACATAAATCTCAGGATGGTGTATAAATACACATCAAAATCTGGGTTCTCAATACATGCTGTAGATTTAATCAGTTCGGGCTGTAAAGTTTGATCTGTCGACGATTCAGTGGCTGCACAGGTCTTGCATTTGCTTCTGCATACTGATCAAATCATTTGATCAAACAAACGTTAGATTTGCTTCATGAATTTGCTCACTCGAGATTATCACAAGTTAGAAGGTATTAACTTACATCATGAACAGCTATTCGGAGTGCTCGAACTTGATCTCTTGAAACTGTTCTTATCTGCATATATATATATATATATATAGTACAAATATGCTTCAGAATCTCATTTTCCAGAGAAGAAATTGTTAGAGATGATTAGATTTTTTTAGTAAACTATTTATTTTACCTTCTTGTTCATTGTCCAAATGACACCTTCACTGCAAGGAGGAACTGTCAATGAGCCCATGTATCTGTAATACTTCTTGCCGCCCATCTTTATCGTGTTTGGATCGATAACTCCCACTTCCCTTTCTAGCAGATTATCAGCCATGGATGTAATGTTGCTCATCAGCTGAAATTTTCATGAAAGCATATCTTAATGTCAGAGAACATTCCCGACAGCGGAATCGGATCAAATGAGAAAAGGGTTTCAAATGTCGGTTTCGAACACGAAGCTGCAGGAAGAAATTGAACATTACCTTGGACAGGAAAGCATCAGGAGCACCAAACCTGTAAAGTTGTCCAACAACAGCTATATTGTTCTTCAAGTTGGGGTCTTTGCTCTGGTGCACCATGTGTAGTTCGATGGCATACCTTCTGCCAGTGTGCTCGGAAGGGGAGTGCCAGTGTGCTTGTTGGAGAGAGTATTCGGTACCATTGATCTCAATCGAACCCGCATCACAATCTGGCCACTTAATCTGCCATATATTCAAAGAACAAATTCAATAATTTTATAAACTCAATTCGATCGTTCGTTTCGTGAAATAATTTGTTACCGAAATATCGTGGCCTCGGTTCTTGACAAGGGCATCACAGGGTTTGTATCTCCTCTTTAGGTCTCCATATTTGTTGATTATCATCACTCTGTAGCTGGACATGTCTATTGGGGACTGCAAATCTCCATGTTTGCAGGCAGCCCATTCCTTCTTCAGATCACCCCAATGCATTGGTCCTTTCCCACTGTTGTCTAAGTAATCGAAGTCCCTCTCATCCTCTGCAACATATCATTTTCATTTTCTCCATCAATTTTCTTCAAAAGAAAAAATAAGGCATAATGTCAAAATAGTCCTCAATGTTTACCAAAATGATCATTTTGGCCCATATTCTTTTTTTGTAGTATTTTGGCCCCAATGTTTCATTTTAGGACAAAAAGTCCCCCAACATTTGACCAAACGGTTGTTTTGACCCTTACTCTTTTTTCTAGAGCATTTTGACCCTCAACGTTTCAATTTAAGGTAAAAAAGACCCCTATTTTTGGAGATTTAATAGTTTGTTAACTAATAGTTTTCATCCATGGAGGGACCTTTTTACTCCAAAATAAAATATTATGGTCAAAATACTAGAAAAAGGGGCTAAAGTAACTATTTCATCAAAAGTTAGGGCTTTTTTTACAATATGTAAAAAAGATATAATGCCAAAGTAGCCCCCAACATTTATCAAAATAGTTATTTTGGCCCCAACATTTCATTTGGACAAAAACCTCCCTCTATAAATGAAAATCATTAGTTAACAACGATTAATGCCCTAAAATAGTGTCTTTTTACATTAAATTTAAATGTAAGGGCCAAAATGCTCTAAAAAAAGAATAAGGACCAAAGTGACTATTCTATCAAATGTTGGGATTCTTTTTGCCCTAAAATAAAATATTGGGGTCAAATATTCCAAGAAAAAATATGAGCTAAAATGATAATTTTTATAAATGTTGAAGGTTAATTTTGACATTATAAAAGAAAAAACAACAACAAAGACTGGATTTTTGACATTACCAACTTCTTGTGCAGAAACTGAAGTTGAGTAAGAGGAAAACAGAAGTGAAAATATGAGAAAAACCGAAACAAAGTGGGGCTTTGTGTTCATCTTTTGAAGCAAAAACCAATTTTTTTTTACAAATAATTTCGTGGGAAATGTTGATATGCAGGGAAGATTATATAAAGGAGTTGGGAGAAATAGAGGGAGAATGTGAAATTTCCCAGCCTGTTTCTTGGATTCTTCAATGTATGAATTAAAATAGTGAGGGATTTATGGAAGGGACAAGTTCACGTTATTCGTTGTTTCGAATATCAACATTGTTGTCCCATTTTTGTTGGATTATTTGAGGTGGCTGTACCTATACCTATCACCTAACTCAATATTCTATTTTTCAGTCAAACGAAGTTGCTAACTGTAGATGATTCTCTATATTATAATATAATATTAAATATATTTGAATGGTATTACACCAGATTTGATTTTTTTTTTAATATTGAAGTCTTTTCCTCGTTTTGTAGTTTTTCAATTAAAATATCAAATAATCATGGTTAGGGACTATTGTTGCAATCCCATTAAAATCATTTCACGAATGCAAACAATGGCAAGCACGTTTGAACTCCTAAAGTTGAATGTTTGGAAGTCATGAAAATTTTGTTTGGACATAAAATCTATTATTATTCTTTAACAAAATTGTTTGTGGTCACAGACTTTATGAAAGGGTTGTGCTCGTTTCAGATCTTCCATTCATACAGATTGAATATTTTTCCTTTTTAAAAGAAGTTAAAAATTTAACATTAAAAGAAGTTACTATAGATAGCATAAAGTATTGTTACTCATTAAGCTGTGAGTTGATAGAATGGTTCTAGATGAACTCTTAGGACTGTAACCGTATGAATAGAGGGGGTTTTTACATAACTGACACCGTTTGATTATAATTTTACTTTTCTGACACCGTTTGACCAATATTTCCAGAACTAGCACCCTTTCTGCTGAGTTGGCAAAGGCGCGTCCCCGGGGGCGCGCTTTACCCGTGTTTTTCGCTGAGTTGGATGCCACGTGTGAAAGGCGCGTCCCCGGGGACGCGCCTTTGCCAACTCAGCAGACACGTATTTTATTATATAATAAATAGTTATTTTATTATTATTATAAATTAATAATATATTATGTAAAATGTTTCGATTATAATGTAAGAATTATCAAGTTTCGAGTATTTTTGATTTTGATTATCGATCTATTAATTTATCAGTTAATTATTTAAATGTTATCAATCAATATAGTCATCTCATATCAAATAAATTGGGAGAATTTCTTACCACTAATAACAAATTTAAAACTCAAATAGTTGGAGAATTTGAGTATATAAGAGAGGAGAAGATGATTTTGGTGTGAAGAATGAGTGAGGGTTGAGGGGGTTTATATAGGGGAGGAGGAGGGGTAGTTAGGAAAAACGGATGGGGGCATTTATGACATTTAATGGAAGGCGCGTCCCCGGGGATGCGCCTTCCACACGTGTCTGCTGATATGGCAAAGGCGCGTCCCCGGGGACGCGCCTTTCACACGTGGCATCCAACTCAGCGAAAACACGGGTAAAGCGCGTCCCCGGGACGCGCCTTTGCCAACTTAGCAGAAAGGGTGCTAGTTTTGGAAATATTGGTCGAACGGTGTTAGAAAAGTAAAATTAAAAACAAACATGTCAGTTATGTAATTTAGCCATGAATAGAGTTGGTGTGTGATGTCTTGCTAGTTCAAAGTCATGGTTTGCCTGCTAGATGTGATCATATAAACCCCACTAAACAGTCTGACACTGTTCTTTATGTGGATTTATCGAGTGATACGAATGAGGCATTGGTTGATAATGCTTCTAGTGGTAGTCCTCCTATAACAACTAATGTTCATTCCATGGTCACTAGAACCAAGGATGGGATCTTCAAGCCCAAGGCTTTTTCTGCCCAAGCTTTGGTCGATGGTGATGAACTTGTCTAGGTTTACCAAGCTTTAACTTCTCATATGTGGAAAGCAGCTGCTCTGACAGAGTATGAATCTTTAATCAGTAATGGCATATGGAGGTTAGTGTTGTTGCCTCAAGACAGTACTGCCATAGAGTGTAAATTTTTATTTTGGGTTAAGAAAAATGTTGATGGATCGGTAGCCAAGTATAAGGCTCGGTTAGTTACAAAAAGGTTTTGCTCAAGTCGTTACGACTTTTGTAATACATTTAGCCCATTTATCAAGTCAATTACGATAAAAGCGGTTTTATCTTTAGCGGCCATACATGAGTTGAAGCTTCACTAAGTCGATGTTAATAATTCTTTTCTTAATAGGGAACTTCATGAGAAGGTGTTCATGGTGCAACCTCCAAGAATTAAGCAATATACCTCTGATGGCTCAAAGTTGGTATGTAAGCTTGAGAAGGCGTTGTATGGCCTTAAGCAAGATCCATGAAGCTGATATGCTAAGCTACGCACATTTCTTATTCAAATTGGCTTTCAAGGAACACAAGTCGATGTTTTCCTATTTATTCAACGGTCAAACACTTGTTCAGTTTATGTTCTCGTGTATGTTGATGATATTATCATCACTGAACATGATGATATTGAAGTGGAGCACGTTATCACGTAGTTAGGTTGTGAATTTTCCCTAAAAGACTTGGGTGAATTAATTTTTTTCTTGTGGTTAGAGGTTCAACGTGATGACCACACTCTTGTCTTACGATAAAAGAATTTTATCCTTGAGTTGCTCGAGAAAACTGGTATGCGAGGTACTCATCCAGTATCTACCCCAATGGTTGTGTCCTCGAAACTTAGAAAGGATGGAGGGAGCCCCTTCCTAGATGTTTCGTTATATAGGAATATTGTTGGGGCACTTCTCTATTTGAATCACACTCAACCTGCTACTGTTTTTAGTGTCAATAAAGTTGCTTAATATATGCATGCGCAATATGAGTAGCATTGGGTAGTTGTTAAACGCATCTTACGCTACTTAAATGGCACTCTTAATTTTGGATTAGATTTTTGCAAGAACATCATGAAGTTCGAGTTGGAGGCCTTTATCGATGTTGATTGGGCTAGTAATGTTGATGATCGACGCTCGATTTTTGGATTTTGTGTTTTTCTTGGAGGAAATCTCATCTCTTGGGTTTCCAAATGCCAACGTTCGGTGTCTCGGTAAGCCAGTGAAGCTGAATTTTGTGGTATAATTGATGTCGTAATTGGTGTTGTTTGTTGAAATGGATTGTCATGCACCAATACACCCATTGTATGGAGCGCTAACACTAGTGTTATAGTAATGAATGTCAATCCGGTATTTCACTTTCTTTCTAATCACATCGAATTATATCTTCATTTTGTTTGGGAAAAGGTTAGTGCTAGGGATGTCTATGTTAGTTATGTTCATAACTCGCCACCAAAAGACCGATGGGCTTACTAAACCTTTTTTTTCGCTTATATTTTTTTGCTTCGCCACAAGTTTTGTAACGCTCTGAAAGATCCCCAAATTTAAATCTTTAGAAATTGGAAAATTTTAACCTAAATTCCTAACTTGAAATTAGTGAAAGAATTGTAAATTTGGAGAACTTGCTTGTAATTAGACCATTTTACTTTAAATCAAACTACCGCCCCTATATATTATGTGCCATACCTTCCCCTTCTATCTCAAAAACCCTAATAGAAGTATATCAAATACGACAATTTTAATATAAATTAAAAAATGTATTATTAGAGATATTAATATTTTTTAATATTTTATTTTCAGACATTAATCGTATATTAAAGTTGTAAGCAAAACTATCCCTAAGACTCGCCCTCACCGCCGTTCGCATATTTTGTTGCCGTTCACGCCGTCTGATCGAAGGTGAGCTCTCAAAAATCCTTCTTAACTCCTCCGCTGCTGCTGTCTTCCAGGGGTTGTGCTCGCACGAAACCAACGAGCTTTGTCTCGTAAAACCCACCCCCGCTGCCGCCATTCTCGGCCGATTGTGGTTCTGGAAGGGTCAGCCCTAATCCGAGGATGACCCAGCTGGTCTGGTCGTGTCTGGCGGCGTCTTTCGTCCATGAAAAACACCCCTAACGGCATTGTATAGGTTCTTTCTTATGCTGCCTTCCCTGACGACGCCGTTATCTGCTGATTACGGTCGTGGCTTTTCTGACTTTTGGGTATTGTTGTCGATGCACCCTAGTCGCCGGTAGCCTCGTTTAAGCGTTCTGGCAGATCGTTATATTCGATCTGAACCCGTTATTGTTGTAACGAAACCAAATCTAAATTTATTTAATTATTTCGTCGAAATATATTACGTTAATTTGGAAACTGGTTTATTTGGGTTTGATTTCAGACTATATAATTTTACAAGAATTTCTGAACTAAGAACCGGGTTACCGTCTCTGCCGTCGTTACCCACGAACTTTGATCCGACTCGTGTAATTCGTGTTGACCGTAAGTGTAACTGACAATTTTAGAACATTAGTCTCATAGATGATTTTAGAATAAATTATTTATTTAAATTATTTGTTGTAGGCATTGATTCTGATCTACCTACTATTCGAGCTGATTGTTGTAGAGATTATTATCGTCGTTAGCTATTTATCTAGGTGTGTCTCTATTCGGTGTTATATTATGTTGTTTTGATTGATTGTTTGTCTAACTGAAAATTTGATAGAAGCATGATTGTATTATGGTATTGTTGAATTAATTATAATTCAGACAAGCATGTTGAATGAAAGTTTAAGTTGAATGAAAGTTTAATTTCGTGCATGATGGATTCTATGATATTGTTGTATCTTATATAATTTGAAAATATATGTTATGTGAAATATGTTGATATGTCAGACTGAAAATTATGAAGTGCATTCGGATTATTTGCATTTGTAATTATTACATTAGGATCAAATCGAAATTCATATATATGATATTCAAGTATATGTTGTTTGGATAGGTGGTATTTAGATCAGATCGGATATAAGATATGTGTGTCATTTTTATGTCATATTGAGACGGATTTTGATATGAGAAGTTCAGTGCATTCACTTGATGGACTGAATGTCACTTTTTCAAATTCAATAGCATTTACCTTTGTGACGGATCCCACTTTTTATAGTGTGATTTGATAGTAAATAGTG